GGAGGCATACTGATTCCGTTAACGCTACTTCGTAAGGCCCCACGGTGGGCGCCAAATGTTGAATCTGAGTTTTGTACGGTCGATTGACTAGAAAACTAAACTCGAATTGTGGGTTCTTCGAAGGCGTTTTATTAATCAGAGTTGATATCAAGAGGAGATTACTGAACGATCGGAGAAAAGAACAAAGGTCGGAGCTTTATAAAAGTCGGACTAGATTACAAAGAGGTTCGATCAATCGTAAAACCCTAAACCTTGCCGTCAGTGTTCTTGTCGTAATTTGCGGATCCCCTTTTCTTTCTCTCCTCTCGTCCTTTTATACTCCGAGTCCTTTTATTTTCGCTTCGTTCGCCCTAAAGCTCGACTTGACGGCCCAAGATCGAGCTCGCGCTTAATGGGCTTTCGAGCTAGTAATCATTCGTGGAACCCGGTTTAAATCGACCTAATCAGCCGCTTACCCAAGTAGACCGGCTTGTTGAGCTCCTGGACGAACGAGCTGGTCGCTCGATTTTTCCGGTTTGATCCTTGGTTTTCGGTCGAACTTCAATCAAACCGATCGTAAATGGGCTGAAGCCTGTTATTCGATGGGCCTTGTGGAGGGTGTTCAATCCCTCTCCAACAATCAAACTGATAACCAATTGGAGTTTGTATATTATGTTTAGTTTACCGATATTTATTAAGTAAACAAGAAGCTGATGTGTACACTGTTTATGTTTTGCCTCATGTGTTATATGCTTGGCAAGTAAACTTATGATACAAGTTATTTTCCTTATGTTCAGGAAGGCTGTACAAAAAAATACTCATGCACTAAAAAGTTAATGTTGAGGAGAAAGTCACATTGTTCGTTCCTAATTGCAACGCCTACTTAGATTAACAATTAAGGTCCACCAGATGTGAAGAAAATGAGAGGAAGCATCGTGTGTACGTTGATCCGATTAAGAGTGTGTGTGAGAGAGGAAATGGATGTTGGAGTTGAAGGAGGAGAATATTAAATTAAAAAATCTTACTTAATGTATACAAGAATTAATATCAAAATGTATACAAAGAATTAATATCAAGAAAAAAACCATTTTGACATAGGATATAGGATCAATTTTGTTTTAAGGGAAACAATATAAAGATAATTTGAAATCCTTACAACTTATCAATACCATAACTCTTTAATGTACAACTATTATAGATAAGTAAAATATATTTTATCAAGATAAAAATCATTTTCATACATACGTTTTGTAAATGTAAATATAAAACCCAATCCATAAAATTATACAGAAAAATGGTAATTTAAATTATAAATAAAGTATATCCCGCTCGTAGGGCGGGCCGACCCTAGTTATTATATAAAAGAATAGATGGTGTATCGGCAGTATACTAGGATAATCGATATAGAGTGAACTGTTAATTTGTTTAGAATTATACGATGCAATTTCCTGTCACTCTTTCTATAAGAAATGTCTTTTGTTATACTTCGATCAACAAATATAAAATTTTAACCGAAAAAATCTGTTGTAAATTTGAAACCTGCAAATATTTTATTCCCTTGCAACATTGCCTAACTTATAGAATTTTCAGTGTCAGTTTTCAGGTTACCAAAAAGTCTAAGTGAACGAATTACGAGTGCAACTATAGAATTTTGGTGGAGTAGTGGGGATAAAAAAAAAAGGAAAATCCCTTGGGTTTCCTGGGAAAAGTTATGTAAACCAAAAGAGCAGGGCGGTCTTGGTTTTCATAATATTGGTCGTTTCAATCAAGCCTTGCTCGGTAAGCAAGCATGGCGTATTTGGAACAATCCGGAATCTTTGGTTTCTCGAATTCTTAAAGGCAAGTACTTCAAAAATGGAAGCTTTATTGATTGTGGTATGGGGACTCGTCCGTCATTTGCATGGAGAAGCATCATGCACGGTAGAGAACTACTAAAAAAGGGCTTGTTTCGGCATATAGGTAATGGGGCTGATACTAACGTTTGGACTGAAAACTGGATTATTGATACTATTCCTCGGCCTCCAATGTATCGAGAAAACAGCTACATTGATTCAACATTAAAAGTTTCCGATTTATTTCTTCAGGGGTCAAATCGATGGGATGTTAATTTTCTAAATCAAACTTTTACGCCACAAGATGTTCAGCGGATACTAATCCTGAAACCAGCAGTGGAATTTCAGGATTCGTTTAGATGGGGTTTCACATCAAATGGAGAATATTCTACTTGGAGTGCGTATAAATTTTTAGAATCTTTGGTAGATTATGATCAGCCTTCGGAGCACTCTTTAACTCCTATTGAAAAACAATTGTGGAGAGAATTATGGAAGACCAAGGCCCCACCTAAGATTAAACACTTCATGTGGCGTGCTTTATCTGGTGCGTTAACTGTTAAGCAACGACTGTCTAGTCGGGGTATTCCAATCGATACCACATGTTCTTCTTGTGGCAACGGGGTTGAAAGTATATGTCATGTTCTTTTTACTTGTGCTAAAGCACGGGCCACATGGGAGCAATCAAATTTTCCAGTACCTTCAGAAGGATTCTCTCGGGACTCCACATTTTTAAATTTTGTGCATCTGATCAAGATTGCTAAGAGTTCGAACACAGATATTCATACCCAAAATTTTTTTCCCTGGTTGTTATGGGAAATCCGGAAAGCTCGGAATGCTTTCACTTTTGAAACAAAGGTTATTAAGGCTACGGAGGTGGCTAGGAAAGCCTATGAAGCAGAATCTTCATGGTGTGATATTTTCACAGAAAATAGGGATGAGGTTGTTAGTACCAATACGTAAATGGTGAATTGGAGAAAACCGCCCAATGGATTTCTAAAATGTAATACTGGATCTTCATGGATGAAACCCAACCAACTTAGTGGTGCTTCATGGGTTTTACGGGATGTAAATGGGGTCACAATCATACATAGTCGTCGGGATTACTCCTATATGCGGTCAAAAACAGAAGCGGATTTATGGGCTCTTTATTGGGCGGTCGAGTGTATGCATAATTTACATTTCTCAAATATAATTTTTGAGACATCGTCCGAAAACCTACATGATGCTCTAACGATGTCTGAGGATGACCAAAAACCCCGTATTCAGCCATATCCGCCACAACATCTATTTCCTTTAGGCAAGGATATACACTTGGAGTCTAAAACACGTCATCCCTGAACGAAATGAAGCAGCAGCGGCAGTTGCTTTAAGTGTCACTCGTGATCATCGTCATCAGTCTTACATCGTTAGATATGCTCCGGTGTAGCTTCATCACCTTCTCGCTTTGGAGGCTCGTCCATAAGGGGTTTGTTTGGTGAGATTCTATCCACTTTGTTATGATGTCTACTGACATCCCATTGTTTTTTTTCTTCTGTACCGGTTACTCCCAATTTGTTTTATCACAATGCCAGTGTTATAAAAAAAAACATTGCCTAACTTTTATTTACGTGACAAACAATCAACTTATTAATCATAATCATGATCACATGTAACTTCACCTCTTAAAAATTATTTAAGAAGTAAGTTTTCTTAGTTGTCATGTTCTCCATAATTTTAGGTAATTTTGTTTATTTATCATATTTATACTATTATATATAATTTATTTATAAATAAAACAAATTTATATGAATATATCATATTTTCGAAAATAAGATAATTCTTGTGAATTATGTTGTTATCTAGAAATATATTTTAAGAATTATCTTATTATCTAGAAATATATTTTTATATATAAAAATTAAAAAGATAATTCTTATGTATTGTGTTGTTATGTTGAAAATATAATTTTCTATTATAAAATTTAAAATTAAGATATAAAAATTATATTGTTAATAACTAAATTTATATTTTAGAAAATAAGATAATTCTTATGTATTATTATCTAGAAAATATATTTTTCTATTATAATTTTTAAAATTAACATGTAAAAAAATCTATACTATTATTTAAGAAGTGAATTTGATGTTTACTGATTTACCATATTTTTCATGATTTTAAGTAATTTTGATAATTTATGATAATTTCTATAATTTTATATATAATTTATTATATATTTAAAACAATAATAGTATCAAATTCTTAGAAGATAAGATATTTCTTATGTATTAAGTTGTTGTCTTGAAAATATATTTTTGTATTATAAATTTAAAATTAAGATATAAAAAGTTGTAGTTATTCTTATGTATTATGTTGTTATCTTGAAAATATACTTTTATATTATATAATTTAAAAGTAAAATTATCTATTATTAATTAAATATAAATTATCACTCAAAAAAAAATATTTAAGAAGTGAATTTGCTGATTAATTAAGTTCTCCATGATTTTAGATAATTTTAATTATATGTCATAATTTTATAATCTTATATAATTAAAAATTATCATATTATATTTTTAGAAAACAAATAACTTATGCATTATATTGTTATCTTTAAAATATGTTTTCTATTATAAAATTAAAACTAAGATAGAAAAATTACAATTAAATATAAATTAAGTAAAAATAAATATTATAATTAAATATAAATCAAGCACAATAATTATAGAAATATATTCTTTTAAATATTTATGAAGTTTGAGTTTTTCATTAATAATTATTTGATGTTTGATTTTTAATTTCTGAAAACATAAAAGAATAACTTATTATGCTGATTTTTACATTAATGAAACATCAACTAATAAATATTTATAAAAGAATTATGTGCGCAACTGCGGGCAAAACACCTAGTTAATCATAATCATGATCACATGTAACTTCACCTCTTAAAAATGAAAGCCCAACACCGGTTAAAACCGGTCGTCAGAGAGATCTCCTAACCGCTGAAAAATGGCAAAGTCACTTCTTACGGTTCGTCACCTATCTCCCCGGTAATCCCGTCTCCCAAATATAATTTAATTTATTTTTTCACCGAGAAAGAGAGACAAAAAAAGGGCGAAGAAGCCAACGATACCATCCTTTCACACAAAATTCAAACTCCGAATCACCTCACGCGCCTCCCTACGCGCAACGATTCCCAATTCTTTTGAAACGATGGAGCCATCGCCGGCTAAGGTAGATTCCGATGCGAAGATCGTTAAGGATCAGAAGAATCCGTCGCCTAGCGTCGATCCGAAAGCCTCGGATCACGGATTGAAGAAGGGAGGCGATGACGCGAGCTCCGAGATCGCCTTGTCGGAGGTCGAAATCGGTACGAAAGGGATCGATCCAGCGGCGGCGGCGCCATCGGAAGCGCAGCCGCCGGCGAGAACGTCGTCCGGATCGAAGAAATCGGTGCATTGGAGCCCGGAGTTGGTTTCGGGGTCTCAGGAAGCGGATCAGAAGAGTGCGACGTCGTACCCGGCCGGATCTAATCCGTATATTGCTCGGTCTCCGGCTGACACGTCGGACGCTTCGTTGAAAGGTAAAAGAGTATTGAATTGAT